AAGTGGGAGAACCTGCACAATTGGTGGCTGACTAAATACTTTTTTGCCTCACTGTAAAGGTTTTCTAACAGTACCACTAAAAACATATTGTACAGCTATTTTATATTTTCCACATTAATTGTGGTTTTGTGGAAGAAAGATGGAAAAAGTGGTGGGTAATACAAGTGGGTTACAGTTAGAAAATCACTCATACACTTTTCTGAATGAGAGTGGGGCAAATGGATGATTTCATTTCTTTCAGCTTTGTCATGGCTAGTCCTTTAGGTAGTTATTTGGATGCTGTCAACTGTATGTCCAGAATAAAATAAACTCCTTTAATGTCTGTATTGGATTTTTAAGTTTTTAGGTTTTTAGAAACAGATGGAAACTTATTCCATGGATACCATTTTATTTTGCTCACTGCAAATTATCTTTTTATAGCTTTATAGCCATAAAAGATTTTTCAGGAGATTCAATTAATAATATATTCAATTTATAACATATTTAACATGTTAGGGCATACTCTTGTTTCAGTCTTCAGCTTCCTTGTGGCATCACTCTGAACACAGAGATATGTACCAGAAGTTGTTGGAAGACATTGCTGTGCTTCATCGTTTGGCTTCAAGACTGTCCAGTCGGGCTGAAATGGTTGGAGCTGTTCGTCAGGTAAAACTATTAAAACTGGTGATGGACTATATCATTTCACTCTGACTTTATTATTGGTCAATCCATGACTGAATTCTAGCTGAGAAAGAGGCTGAAGCCTGGAGAACAGGCATGGTCCTAAAATAATATCCAAAAGTCTGAACATGTTAAGCTGGATTTTTGGTCCATCTAGACTAGTTTTTTTTTTTTTCAGACCAGCACCAACCCCTAAGATTTCAGGCAGATGTCTTTTCCAGCCCAGATTCAAATACCAGAGTATTCTGGCTTTGTGAGAACATAGATATGAAAAAATGTTATAGTCCAAAATTGCTTATAGCAAGTTCAGACGAAGGTGTTCAATTTACTGGTACAGTGGAAATGCAGATGAAGATCCTGTCAGTTCAAACAGATGTTAGTTGTACCGATAAGATGAAATAATCAGAGTGCAAAAAAAAAAAATGTACATAATAACAAGGTAAAATGAATTTGTAGTTTAGCTGACCTAAACAACTGTTGATCCTGATAATCTTATCTCTGGAATGGAGAATCTCAGAATATCTGGTGCTTTAGGAGCTCTTTGGATCAGATTGCATCCAGGTAATCACCCTGAATAGTATAGTTGTTTCTGTCCCATTAAGGACAGAATTTGAATATTGTCACTTCTGAGGAAATATCATTTGAATATTAACAAAAAAATAAGCAAAAGTGATATTCTATTTGGTGGCATTCTTGTTGCAATGTGTGCCAACTTTAATTAGTGACTGAGAAGTTGATGAAGACTGTCCTGCAACTGGCAGGATCTCCTTTCGAGTAAAATCATATAGCTAGAAGCTGTTATATACTGCTACTTCCTTAATATTGAAACAATACTTTTATGTGTATTGTTCTCATCTATTCCTTCCAGGAGAAACGTATGTCAAAGGCCACTGAAGTTATGATGCAGTATGTAGAGAATTTAAAGAGAACATATGAAAAGGATCATGCTGAGCTCATGGAGTATAAGAAACTTGCTAATCAGAATTCTAGCAGAAGCTATGGTTCTCCAGGTAAAACTTCTTGACATTTTAAACACATGTCTGCATTGCTGTTAAACTTCTATTTGCTACTCCCACATAGATATAGATCAGTGTTTCTCAACCTTGGCCACTTTAAGATGTGCGGACTTCAATTCACAGAGTTCCTCAGCCAGCGAGTTGAACTCCACACATCTTAAAGTGGCCAAGGTTGAGAAACACTGATACAGATAATACAGGGTGTTCCAAAACTCTTAGTGCAGTTTGAAGCTTTCTTAAAACTACTAACGCTTTTGGGACATCTTGTATATATAAAATACCTGATAAATAGACTATTTCTTTATTGAATAAAGTTGTGCATCTTGATTTAGTCTCAGCAGGAGGCAGCCCATGGCTTAAAAACTAAATAGGGACAGGCTTGGTTAGTGCTTGTTTTAGAGACTACTAGAGAATCCCAGAGCTGAAAGCTAAAGTGAGAAGTGAAAAAGATCCTGGAAGAAGGCAGTGGCAAACCTGTATCGTATTATGGCCATGGCTATGAAGTCACCTGGAATCAAACTCCACTCAAAGAAGACTTTACTTTTTAAAAAAATCTTGATTTAAGTATCTTCAGAAAGACTGTTAGATTGTAATATGTTCAACCAAAATGATGATACATATTAACCATTATAACAGTATATATTATAGTTTGTAATAATGTTAAATGCTGCTTTATATGAACCTTCTTTTCAATATAAAATAGTCTGTTGAATGATGTGATCATGTTTTCTGCTAGTATGTCTTCCATTTGCTTTTGTTTTATGCTTTGTAACAGATGATGGTGTGCCCCGTACATCTAGATCCATGTCTCTTTCTATTGGAAAGGTATTTTTCCAAATTTTAATAAGCTGTTTAATCCACATTATTTTCTATAAGTAACCATTCTGGAAATTCTGGTAATTATACTAGTGCCCTTCTGTAAGTCTCCTTGTCTAATGAGATGAATCAGGTTACCACTGAAGAAAGGACTATCAGTCATGATGTCATAGGACACTTCCATCTCAAGGGCTTGCATCACTCCCAGGCCAGCTCACAGCTTGTGATCTTACTTCCAGCTTAGCGGCAATGCAGGAGGAAGGCACTGTGAAGCTGATTTTCATCTGGAAATGTGGGAGGTCTGCAAAGCTTGGGAAGACCATTTCCCCATTTGAGGGAAGTGTTGCCTCATCCCTCCTCAGTTTTGGAACATAAGCCTGAGGGGAATGTTGGCTTGACAGCTTTATTCTCCCTCTCAGTACCCAAAGTGATTGGTTGATAATTTGTCACTCTCCCCATCTCTTAGGCAGGGGATGAGCCATATGCAAATTTAATGGTATGTGGAAATGACCTTGGGGGGGAGGGTGAAGAGATGCTGCCTAGGGAACAGTCAGATAAGAGAGAGCATAACCTGCAGCTGCAAAGTGAGCAGAGCAAGAGGCTCACAAGGGACCCTCTCTAAGTTCTCAGGCTGTAAAGATGACGGTGGGAAAATTGTACTTTCAGACTTGCAAGATTCTGTTAATGTAGCTTTACAATGAAGTAGAATTAGCTTATCTGGTCATGTTTCTTGTCTGGTCTACCTGGTAAGACTAATAGCAAAGTACCAGGCTGCTTGGATTTTCCTGCTTGGATTTTCAGTTTCGTATATTTTCCTTTTGTGGAAAATTGTGTTGGGTGGAGACATGAGACTTCTATTGCTGCAACAGTGTGAAGTGGGACAGTGACTGAGAAATTTAATGTAGTACATAATTTGGCCCTTAGGAAGCCCCTACACTAAGAACTTCTAGTTTTCAGAGACAGCAGTCCTGAGACACCTAATAGGGAATTAGCTCCACTGAAGACAATTAAACCTGCTTCTGAATAAACATGTAAAATTACCCTACACTTTGCACACTATGAGATTCTTTTATAAGTGTTATGGAGCCATAGAAATTATTGCCGCAGTTTGAAAGTGCAATCAAATTACTTTGTGAATTGTATTGATTTTTACTGTAACTGTAACCTGAAGTCACACGGTTTCCTTTCCCCGTTTTGCTTTAATCTGCTTAGCTGTATCTCCTGTGAAACTATCACTTGGTCTAAATAGAGATATAACATGCTTTTTTTGTTTTAGATGCCTCGAAGGAGAGTCAGTGTTGCTGTTGTTTCAAAATTTGAGCTTCCAGGCCAGTCACCTAGCCAATCTCCCGTACCTTTGGTGTCATCTTCCCTGGTAAAATTTAAACTTGTAAAATTCTACAGAAATACTCTTTTAAAGAATAAAACTTTTACTTCATTTAATTGAAAATACCATATTTTCTAAATCTGCACATTCAGATTAATATGAATATAAACTAATTATTACATTTACATACAAAATAAGCTATGTTGTATGCAGTTGGTGGTGAAAAAGTATCTTAAAACTCTCAATGAAGTATTTATAAAAGTTCCAAATTATAGTGAAATAGTTGTTCACTGAATGAATTGATTATTTGGAAAAGACAGAGGTTATATTTTTACGTGATTAGGGTAACCTCATATAGTAAATGCAATTTATGCTCTTGATATTTGAATGAAATAAATGAATATCTTTATTTACAGTCTGAATCATCAAATGGAAGAAGCAATCTGACATCAACTCCAGGCTTACCTGTAGTTATAGAGAAGTGAGTACATGAATATTTACTTCATTAAAAGTTATACAGGAGACAATTCTAACTGGCATTAAAATATCTCTTTTTTTCCAAAAAGAATACAAGGCAATAATAATACAGCTCAGTATCCTTGCTCAACTATATTACTATTCTTAAATGTACATTTCACAGAACAAATATAATTATATTTTTGGTGGAGTGTTTGTTTTTCCATTGGGTTCTTTAGGGAAAAATCATGGTTGGGCTTACATAGCTATTTCTTTGTCTGAATGTTCAGAAATAAGGCCAACTGGGCATAGAACGAGTAGATAAGATTGCATCCTTAGAATTGGTAAATGAAATAATGTCATATGCACCAAAAGCTTATGTCTTTGAGAGAAACTGAGTTCATTGGGAATTAACTGTCAAATAAATTTGTATAGGATTATAGCTTCAAACTATGATGAGACCCATGGCCCCAGAGTTTTCTATGCCTAACAATTGCATCAATTGCATCTGTTTCCTTCTTGCTAGGTCCCTCATTAGAATCCTAGAGTTAAAACGGCCCATCTAGTTTCATCACATCTAATGTTCTGCTCAGTGCAGGAATCCAAATTAAAGAGTCCCCACAGATGGCTGTCCAGCTTCTGATTGGTGGTTGGAGTTTAATATATTACATCTACAGGTAGTCATCATTTAGATCCCCTATTAACCAGCAACAATAGATAGGAATACAGACTAAGTAACTAAACCCTGTAGTAGATTCAGATGCCAAATCTGCCCTCTCCCATCACTTTCTTTTACAATATTTTTACAAAGCAGTCCATGTTGGCTGCTAATTTTCCAGTGCCTACTAGATTTTATATTAGACAAACTGACCATCGTCTATGCAAAAACACACATGGGGACAAATCTGACATAAAAAATAACATCCAAGTATCAACAGCCATCTCAGAAAATTCTGTCAGTGACCTCAACATGTCCAGTGAAAGCTTATCCTATAATACTTTTCTTAAAAGTGCCATTAGATTCCTTTTGATGAAAGATTAACCTGACTACCCTCCTGGAAGATGCAGGTGTAGTGAATATATTTCAGGTTTTCATCTGTTTCTTTGTTTGATATATATCTTGCTTTCCCAGCAATTCACTTTTCTCCAGGTTCCCTTTAAATTTCAGGGAAATACACAAATCAAAATTTTGGAGATGGGGGAAAAGAGGGAGGGAGGGAGGGAGGAAATTACGTTCCTGTGGTGGAATGTATCTACGAGGAGGAGAGTGATGTGGGAGATCAAGGCTATCAGGAAGGAGGGGGTGCATTCCAGGAGTGGGGAGGAGGCAAGAGGCAACACAGTCTGCAGGGGGAGAGTGAGAAGAGAAAGAGGTTCAGGATAGCCACTCCCTAGAATCTCCCAGGGTATATCCACTA